TTTTTGCTAATTTTAATTGTTGATACTGTGTAAGGATGGTTTCAAAGATCATGTGGCTTCCCTCTCAAATTTGTTGCTGAATCTTTATATTGATGCCTAGGTTTTTATCTTGTAGGTGCAGATGTAATGCTTTCTTAGTGAACAGACAAAATATGCATTTTTCCTCAACATTCGCTTTGCAGCTAAGAAGTCGTTCTCTGATTACATTAAATACTTATTTCAAACAACTGCTTTGTTTATGTAGGATGTTGATATTGATTCTACCTATAAAAATTACAGTGCATCTACTCGAGCATCTCTTGAAGCTTGGTCAGGTTCACAGCTTGATTTGGGTTTGGTATGTACTTTGATCTGAGAAATGTCTACTGTGGTAATTGACTTGCTTAATTGCCATTATGAAACTTTATGGTGTTGAGGAAATGTGTGTAGAATATGCAACTCTCTGATGATGTTTTAGTGGTTGCTTGCTTACTAAAGTATTTTGCTCCTTTTGATGGTTAATGTTGCAAGGCAGCATCTTATTCTGAAATATTGCAATTTATTTCCACTACTTTTTTTTTTTCACTGTGTCTTGTATTTATAAGAACAGGAATTCACTTCTTACTTCCTGTATTGTTGATTACTATTGACTATTGTTTCCTGCACCTCCACTCAACTGAGAGTCTGTATAACCATATACCTTTTGTTGAACATTATTTTTAGGTGGAGTCAACAGTTGAATATATCTGTCGCCATGAAGGTGATGGAGCAATTCTTGTATTCCTCTCGGGTTGGGATGAGATTTGTAAGCTACTTGACAAGATTAAAGTAAACAGATTTCTTGGAGATCCGAGCAAGTTTCTAGTCCTTCCTGTACATGGTTCAATGCCAACCATCAATCAACGTGAAATATTTGACCTTCCGCCCCCTAACAAGAGGTTAATACCTTGATGTTAATTCTGTTACTCTAGTGGCATTTAATATATGTATATAGTCCTCTCCTCAACTCATGTATGCAGGAGTTAATTATCATATGTAAAGAGTTTATTTTTGTGTATGAGAGTTGATGGAAGTTCTAATAATTTTGACTTTTAGTGAGCTCAGTTGGCAGAACATGACAGTTACCTGAAACTCTGATCACTTCTTCCATAGAGTTAACTCATGCATGCATAAGTTTAAGTCCAGATTTCTAGTTTACATTTTTTATTTGCACTTTGAGAATATGATTCTGCTGATAATCATATCCTGTTTTCAAAATTTTGAATGATTTCTTCTGCCCTGTGTGATATTTTGTTAGTACAGGACCGGGGTTGTTAATTTCTTAGTTATTAATGGTGTGCCAGTGAGAATATTCATATGTGGACTTTACAGACATATGATTGTGCCACTCACTGTTTGGAATTACTCACTTTAATAAATACCTGACTAACTTTGCTATCATAATTTAGATTTCATTGCACTTCCATATTGGTCAGTATAAATTCATACGAATTCCTTATTTTCTGCAACCCGACTTTGTGAAGAATGGGGTTTGTGATTTTTGAAAACTATTGGAATGGAAAATTCACATCGAGATAACCTTGTTCCCCATGCCAATATGGCCTTTGTGCTTACAATATTTTGCTATGCTATGATGTTGCCATTCTTTTTTTAATTAATGTGTACGAAACTGAGAAGATATATTAAAAAACCTATAAGAAGAATTTTATATAGAATTCCTTGAAGATTTAGGTCCATTCTTTTTGGTTCTTTAATATAATGTGTCATTGATCATCATGAACTTGCTGGAGAACACAAGCTTGTAGATGGGTTACCGCATTTACTTGTCAGTTGTTAACTCTTATTGGTTAAATAGGTTTCCTAGGGTGAGATCAGATTCTATTATCATGTTTGTTTTGCACTTTCTGTGCAATGAATATCATTAAATTGGAAAAGATTGTTTGTCTGTTACTTTGGCATAGCAGTCCAGCTGGATTTTACTAATCTATTGGCTATCAGCTTGTCACTTTTTGTGTTATTTGTTTGTTGAAAACATTTCTCTTTTTGTGCTCCTTTATCGTGAAATGTCAGTCAGATGTTGTAGGCCTCTCATAGTTATAATCATTTAAAGCACCTTTAATCTCGTCACCTTAATTTTTTGGTACTTTTTTGTTTTTTCTAATTTTTATTTTCTCTGTGTCTTTGTAGAAAAATTGTTCTGGCGACAAATATTGCAGAGAGTAGTATCACCATAGATGATGTTGTGTATGTTGTAGACTGTGGAAAGGCAAAGGAAACCAGCTATGATGCTCTAAACAAGTTGGCTTGCCTGTTGCCATCATGGATTTCAAAGGCTTCAGCACGTCAGGTATTTACTTGGTACCATGGCAGTGACATGGGAATTTAAGGTTCTCTCTTCATTTTAGCTGTTGTTGCTAAGTCTATCTCTTACTGAAAAGCTCTGTGTGTTTTTATGGTGAGAAATTTCAGAGAAGAGGTCGTGCTGGCCGTGTTCAACCTGGGGTTTGTTATAAATTGTATCCAAGAATAATCCACGATTCAATGCTTGAATATCAGCTGCCTGAAATTCTTCGTACACCTTTGCAAGAGCTGTGCCTCCATATCAAAAGCTTGCAGCTTGGAACTGTTGGGTCTTTTTTGGCAAAGGCACTTCAGCCTCCAGATGCCCTGTCTGTTCAAAATGCAATTGAACTTCTTAAAACAATTGGAGCTTTAGATGATATGGAAGACCTTACTCCACTTGGTATGTAGCATGATATTTGTCTTCTTTCTCTATTGTTAATTTGCCATAGTTGATTTACTGTAATCCTAATTAATGCCTTGTAGGACGCCATCTCTGCACACTGCCTGTGGATCCAAATATCGGAAAGATGCTTCTAATGGGAGCCATCTTTCAATGCCTCAATCCCGCTTTAACAATTGCGGCTGCCCTTGCACACCGTGATCCATTTGTCCTTCCAATAAATAGGAAAGAGGAAGCTGATGCAGCAAAAAGATCATTTGCCGGTGATTCTTGCAGGTGAGCTGTTGAGCTCAGCCATCCTACTCTTAGGCTTTTGCAGATTTTTCCCCCAAAATGGTTCATTTTGTTGGTGTATGGAAAATCTAAATATCTTTTTTTTCTTTTTTCTTTTTTTAATAATTCAGTGACCACATAGCACTTCTCAAAGCATTTGAAGGTTATAAGGATGCAAAATGCAATAGAAGGGAAAGAGATTTCTGTTGGGAAAATTATCTATCTCCAGTAACCTTGCAGATGATGGAGGATATGAGAAACCAGTTTCTGGATCTACTATCAGATATAGGCTTTGTGAACAAATCCAAGGGTGCTAATGTGAGCTCTCATTTTTTCAAGTTCAATAGCAAGCTTTCTTTTCTCTCTCCCTCTCATCTTTCCTTTTAGGAGGTGGTTAATTGACTGTTGTTTTATTAATATGCATGATTAATCTTTAGATTTTTGCTATTACATAGTGGTTGTATTTTTACCATGGTCTTCTATTCCCATCTTCTGAGGTTGTGTTACATGATTCATATGCATCTGAAGTTGATGTTGGAGGAGTACTAGACTCATATATGTGCATGTGTCATGTAGGCTTACAACCAGTATAGCCATGATTTGGAGATGGTATGTGCAATCTTGTGTGCTGGGCTCTACCCAAATGTTGTACAATGCAAAAGAAGAGGAAAGCGTACGGCATTCTACACAAAAGAAGTTGGGAAAGTGGACATCCATCCCGCTTCCGTTAATGCTGGGATTCATACTTTCCCTCTGCCTTACATGGTTTACAGTGAAAAGGTGAAGACAACTAGTATCTTTATCCGAGATTCGACAAACATATCAGAATATGCTTTGTTACTATTTGGTGGCAATCTCATTCCAAGCAAAACTGGGGAGGGTATTGAAATGCTTGGTGGTTACCTTCATTTCTCTGCATCAAAGAGTGTGTTAGAGTTGATACGGGTAATTGCTTCTTTAGTCTTTTTAATATGTATGTTCTTTTAGGAAATTGTGTATAGAAGTGTGTTTTTTTAATTAAAAAAAAACACCCTCATCTAAAGAATGCATGTATAATTTGGTCATCTTTTAATTGGTCGGACAAAAATACTCTTTTTTGTTAATAACACACTTTATCTCATGTTATTATGATGCTTAACAGCTGCATGATGAACTTCAAACTAATTTCTACTTATATTGGATTTTTCTTGACATGCTAAGATTTTAATGCAATGGGTTTTTAGTAAATCTTAGTTAAAACAACATTACAAAGAATTTTGCGGTTGATCATGTTAATGAATTTTGCAGAAATTGCGAGGGGAGCTTGACAAGCTTTTGAATAGGAAGATTGAGGAACCAGGGTTCGACCTTTCTGTGGAGGGAAAGGGAGTGGTTTCTGCTGTGGTTGAGTTACTGCATAGTCAAAATGTACACTACTAATCTTCTATGTTTTTTCGGGACCAACAACCAACAACCATAAGATAATAGGAATCTTGCTATTCTTTTTCCCCCAAATATAGTAATCTAAATTTTGAAGATTTGCTTATTATTTTTTCCCCTCTTTTGGTAGAAATCAATTTATAAGTTGGGTGAATGTATTATTAAATGACACTTCTAGATATCTCAGGGTTAGCAATGATATGGAAGAACTCGTTAGATTTTGCAACCTGTGAAGATTTTGTTTAGACAGTAAAGTAAAATTCTCGCCATCTTCTCTTTTTTGATAACATTGCTGTCTCTTTTTGTGCCATTTTCTTTATCTCATCTCATCTCTCTTCCGCATACATGCACTGCTTTGCTGGTGAAATAGATTTTTCTTGTGCTTAGATAATTTGTGCTTGTAATTATCATCTTATCCCCAGGGCGATGTTACTATACATGGTCTATTGTATTACGAATAATTTTTCTGTAATATAAATGTCGCACTTATAATAATTTGAACTTGTAACAGAATATTGTTCGTAGTATAATTTCTCAAAACACCACCTATTTTATCTGCTGCTAATACTAACATGACAGATTAGAATCATGCTTCTGATGAGTCATCTGAATCTGGAGACAGTGGCCTTGGAACAAATGCAGGATCATGCAACTCCTGAGGAAGCTCTGGCAGTGTTGCTTCAAAATTGAGAAGTTGAATTACTTGTCCTGCAGATGGCCTCTCCATGTCGACTGGGTGTGTGCACCATAATCCCACAATTAGTAAGCATTCCAATTCTCTGCTCTCAAACTTCATTTCTAGTCTCGTATCTGCTGCTTGGATAATGTTTCCTGCTTTATAGAGTTCCCAAACTGACTTTATCAATGGCTCCCTGTCTGCTCGCCTCCCGCATGCAATTTCTAAACTTACAATTCCAAAACTAAACATGTCTGATTCCTTAGTGGCGCGGCCATCTCTTAGATATTCAGGGGCCAAGTAGCCGACTGTCCCCACTACGTTGGTTGCTTGATTTTGTGACCAAGAATTCACAACCTTTGCCACCCCAAAGTCACCCAGCTTGGTACTGAAATCCGTGTTCAGTAATACATTTGCTGATTTTATATCCCTATGCAGAACATATGGCTCGGCCTCTTCATGGAGATATCGTAGGGCTGAAGGCAAGCCTAATGCTATTTTGTATCTGATACTCCATGGCAGAGGTTTTTGATTACCAAATGGATGATAATCAAGGCTGCCATTTTGCATATACTCATACACAAGTAGAAGCTCATCTTTTTCATGACACCACCCCATTAATTGCACCAGATTTCGGTGTTTTAATCGACTGATAATCTTCACTTCATTGACAAAAAGTGACTCATACAGTTCGGATTCAGCCAGTATTCTCTTTACAGCAACTAGGCCGCCTAACCTGCTCATGGATAATCACTACCTGTTTTCAAATTTGAATGATTTCTTCTGCCCTGTGTGATATTTTGTTAGTACAGGACCGGGGTTGTTAATTTCTTAGTTATTAATGGTGTGCCAGTGAGAATATTCATATGTGGACTTTACAGACATATGATTGTGCCACTCACTTTTTGGAATTACTCACTTTAATAAATACCTGACTAACTTTGCTATCATAATTTGATTTCATTGCACTTCCATATTGGTCAGTATAAATTCATACAATTCCTTATTTTCTGCAACCCGACTTTGTGAAGAAGGGGTTTGTGATTTTTGACAACTATTGGAATGGAAAATTCACATCGAGATAGCCTTGTTCCCCATGCCAATATGGCCTTGTGCTTACAATATTTTGCTATGCTATGAGTTGCCATTCTTTTTTTAATTAATGTTCAAACTGAGAAGCTATATTAAAAAACCTATAAGAAGAATTTTATATAGAATTCCTTGAAGATTTAGGTCCATTCTTTTTGGTTCTTTAATATAATGTGTCATTGATCATCATGACTTGCTGAGAACACAAGCTTGTAGAGTGGGGTACCGCATTTACTTGTAGTTATTAACTCTTATTGGTTAAATAGGTTTCCTAGGGTGGATCAGATTCTATTATCATGTTTGTTTTGCACTTTCTGTGCAATGAATATCATTAAATTGGAAAAGATTGTTTGTCTGTTCTTTGGCATAGCAGTCCAGCTGGATTTTACTAATCTATTGGCTATCAGCTTGTCCACTTTTTGTGTTATTTGTTTTGTTGAAAACATTTCTCTTTTGTGCTCCTTTATCGTGAAATGTCAGTCAGTGTTGTAGGCCTCTCATAGTTTAATATCATTAAAGCACCTTTAATCTCGTCACCTTAATTTTTTGGTACTTTTTTGTTTTTTCTAATTTTATTTTCTCTCTGTGTCTTTGTAGAAAAATTGTTCTGGCGACAAATATTGCAGAGAGTAGTATCACCATAGATGATGTTGTGTTTGTTAGACTGTGGAAAGGCAAAGGAACCCAGCTATGATCTCTAAACAAGTTGGCTTGCCTGTTGCCATCATGGATTTCAAAGGCTTCGCACACGTCAGGTATTTACTTGGTACCTGCGCAGTGACATGGGAATTTAAGGTTCTCTCTTCATTTTAGCTGTTGTTGCTAAGTCTATCTCTTGCTGAAAAGCTCTGTTGTTTTTTATGGTGAGAGATTTCAGAGAAGAGGTCGTGCTGGCCTGTTCAACCTGGGGTTTGTTATAAATTGTATCCAAGATAATCCATGATTCAAGCTTGAATATCAGCTGCCTGAAATTCTTCGTACACCTTTGCAGAGCTGTGCCTCCATATCAAAAGCTTGCAGCTTGGAACTTTGGTCTTTTTTGGCAAAGGCACTTCAGCCTCCAGATGCCCTGTCTGTTCAAAATGCAATTGAACTTCTTAAAACATTGGAGCTTTAGATGATATGGAAGACCTTACTCCACTTGGTTTGTAGCATGATATTTGTCTTCTTCTCTATTGTTAATTTGCCATAGTTGATTTACTGTAATCCTAATTAATGCCTTGTAGGACGCCATCTCTGCACACTGCCTGTGATCCAAATATCGAAAGATGCTTCTAATGGGCCATCTTTCAATGCCTCAATCCCGCTTTAACAATTGCGGCTGCCCTTGCCACCGTGATCCATTTGTCCTTCCAATAATAGGAAAGAGAAGCTGATGCAGCAAAAAGATCATTTGCCGGTGATTCTTGCAGGTAGCTGTTGAGCTCAGCCATCCTACTCTTAGCTTTTGCAGATTTTTCCCCAAAATGGTTCATTTTTTTGGTGTATGGAAAATCTAAATTCTTTTTTTTCTTTTTTCTTTTTTAATAATTCAGTGACCACATAGCACTTCTCAAAGCATTTGAAGGTTATAAGGATGCAAAATGCAATAGAAGGAAAGAGATTTCTGTTGGGAAAATTATCTATCTCCATAACCTTGCAGATGATGAGGATATGAGAAACCAGTTTCTGGATCTACTATCGATATAGGCTTTGTGAACAAATCCAAGGGTGCTAATGTGAGCTCTCATTTTTTCAGTTCAAAACAAAATTGTCTATTGTAAATTACCTCCCAGGTTCCCCTCCCCCCAAATTTCTGTTATTGTATTTGTGGAAATCCTTGCAGAACCTTTAACTTTTTGACATTTTGTATTCTTTCTATCCCAAATTTGATGTGAACAGGTTGAGGACCCAGATTTAAACCATGTGAGCCATTTGCTAGTTGATGAAATTCATGAAAGAGGAATGAATGAAGACTTTTTGTTAATAATTTTGTGTGACCTTCTTCCCCGGCGTCCAGATCTCCGTCTCATCCTGATTAGTGCTACCATTAATGCTGACTTGTTCTCCAAATATTTTGGAAATGCCCCAACTATACACATTCCGGTATAATAATCATTTCAATTTTATTGAAGCGGAACTTGTATTTATGAACTTTTTGAATGCATGTACCTTACTTGCATATCAAACTCATTATTATTGTCATTATAGTTATTGCTATATTTACTTTTTATTCATTTATATTTAAATGTATTGGCAGGGATTGACTTTTCCTGTGGCAGATTTATTTCTAGAAGATGTTTTGCAGAAAACCCATTACAACATAAAGTCAGAGTTTGACAGCTTCCAGGGAAACTCAAGAAGAAAAAGGAGAGAGCAAGATTCAAAGAAAGATCATTTAACTGCTTTATTTGAGGCATGTTTAGAACTATGAATCTAACCAACCTAATTTACATTTGCTTGAGTAAATTCTGAAAAGGTTTTATGATGATCGCCAGTTATCGAATTTTACTTCATGTCATTTTTTGTTGATATACTTTTCTGAACTAATCCTTACTAAATATAGCATATGCATATAGGGACAATTTTGAAGAAAACAGGGGTCCCTGATTCCTTCATCTGGATTGATCTTTAATTTAATTATTTTCAGCCAATAGGAGAGACAAAATGATCTCACTCTGCAGGAAATATTGAAACATATTATGTGCCTGCTAACCAATGGCTATTATTGAAAATGATGGTTAGTATTTTGTTGGGTTTCCTGCAGCTTCATGCTTAGCTGCTTGGTAGTTAGAAATGCAGATGTTTGCATGAATCTGGGTTTGACACATCTATATTTCTTCAGGAGTATAGGTTCAAATATCCATACACTTTCTCATGTAGCTGCGCTTTTTGTAGGTCAACTTTGATGTAAATAGAGTTTTGCTTATTTTAATTCACTGACTTAGGTCTGGAAACATGCAGAATTTTTTACAGAATTCATAATCTAAAATACTTTTGTACTTGTTTGGACCTTTCTTGTAAATGACATTCTGTAGTTTATGGCTTTTTGCTAATTTTAATTGTTGATACTGTGTAAGGATGGTTTCAAAGATCATGTGGCTTCCCTCTCAAATTTGTTGCTGAATCTTTATATTGATGCCTAGGTTTTTATCTTGTAGGTGCAGATGTAATGCTTTCTTAGTGAACAGACAAAATATGCATTTTTCCTCAACATTCGCTTTGCAGCTAAGAAGTCGTTCTCTGATTACATTAAATACTTATTTCAAACAACTGCTTTGTTTATGTAGGATGTTGATATTGATTCTACCTATAAAAATTACAGTGCATCTACTCGAGCATCTCTTGAAGCTTGGTCAGGTTCACAGCTTGATTTGGGTTTGGTATGTACTTTGATCTGAGAAATGTCTACTGTGGTAATTGACTTGCTTAATTGCCATTATGAAACTTTATGGTGTTGAGGAAATGTGCCTAGAATATGCAACTCTCTGATGATGTTTTAGTGGTTGCTTGCTTACTAAAGTATTTTGCTCCTTTTGATGGTTAATGTTGCAAGGCAGCATCTTATTCTGAAATATTGCAATTTATTTCCACTACTTTTTTTTTTTCACTGTGTCTTGTATTTATAAGAACAGGAATTTTCTTCTTACTTCCTGTATTGTTGATTACTATTGACTATTGTTTCCTGCACCTCCACTCAACTGAGAGTCTGTATAACCATATACCTTTTGTTGAACATTATTTTTAGGTGGAGTCAACAGTTGAATATATCTGTCGCCATGAAGGTGATGGAGCAATTCTTGTATTCCTCTCGGGTTGGGATGAGATTTGTAAGCTACTTGACAAGATTAAAGTAAACAGATTTCTTGGAGATCCGAGCAAGTTTCTAGTCCTTCCTGTACATGGTTCAATGCCAACCATCAATCAACGTGAAATATTTGACCGTCCGCCCCCTAACAAGAGGTTAATACCTTGATGTTAATTCTGTTACTCTAGTGGCATTTAATATATGTATATAGTCCTCTCCTCAACTCATGTATGCAGGAGTTAATTATCATATGTAAAGAGTTTATTTTTGTGTATGAGAGTTGATGGAAGTTCTAATAATTTTGACTTTTAGTGAGCTCAGTTGGCACAACATGACAGTTACCTGAAACTCTGATCAGTTCTTCCATAGAGTTAACTCATGCATGCATAAGTTTAAGTCCAGATTTCTAGTTTCCATTTTTTATTTGCACTTTGAGAATATGATTCTGCTGATAATCACATCCTGTTTTCAAAATTTTGAATGATTTCTTCTGCCCTGTGTGATATTTTGTTAGTACAGGACCGGGGTTGTTAATTTCTTAGTTATTAATGGTGTGCCAGTGAGAATATTCATATGTGGACTTTACAGACATATGATTGTGCCACTCACTGTTTGGAATTACTCACTTTAATAAATACCTGACTAACTTTGCTATCATAATTTAGATTTCATTGCACTTCCATATTGGTCAGTATAAATTCATACGAATTCCTTATTTTCTGCAACCCGACTTTGTGAAGAATGGGGTTTGTGATTTTTGAAAACTATTGGAATGGAAAATTCACATCGAGATAACCTTGTTCCCCATGCCAATATGGCCTTTGTGCTTACAATATTTTGCTATGCTATGATGTTGCCATTCTTTTTT